CGCAGATCGACTGCTGTCGGAGGGAGCGGTGGAGCGCAACGGGCGAGGGAGGCAAAGGCAGCGTGCGGAGTGATAGCGCAGTGGGCGTTGCGGGCCGCTACGACCAGGCACTGCGCTAGTAGGAAGGAGTAGATGCGCTAAGGCAGTGGGCGACGAGCGCTAGGCAGGGCAGGCGAGGCAAAGCAAGCGACGGACGCTGGAGTAGAGTAGTGAGGCAGCGGACATCAGGCGCTGAGACAGTGAGGTGAGGTAGCGGAACGGCGGGCGCTGCGGTAGCAGTAGCGGGCGCAGGCGGGGACGAAGGAGGAGAAAGAAGTGAAAAACGAACGTAGGCGCAGAGTTACGCCGGGTGCGTTCGTAAGATGAGGCAGTAGAGAGAATGAGAGAGACAACTAGGAGAGATACGAGGAGGTTCGAGAGCAGGTTAAGGGGCTAAATGAACCTGCATGGGTTTGTTCCAAGCGCTTTCGGCAGTAAAGGAGATCGGGAGATGGCGGGGTGACGAGTAGGATGTAGTCGAGGGGGCGTAGCTCTCTTGATTCTTAGTGGAATCAAGGGAGGCAAGTGGCGATTCTGGCATTTTTGCCCCTGGTGAATCTACTGATGAAGTGAGAATGTGAAGATAGTTAGTAGAATGTAAGTTAGTGGGGAAAATGGCCGCGCGGAGGTGTCGACGAGAGAGGAGGAGCCATGGAAAACGGTTGATCTTGGCCTTCAATCGATGAGAACGGGTAGGAGAAGAAGTTAGTTCGGGGTTCTAATATCGGACGAATCCGATCAGAAAGTTAGATTTGATGGAAAGTGTAATGACCCGCCCAAAACACAGACTGAGAACACTACTGATTTTTGGGATTTGCCAATGGAATGAATGCCTTGCTATGATTCCCGCATTCTGCTGTGGTCCCAAGTCTGTGTGTGTGCGTGCCTGCTGGTTTGCATGCTTGTCTGAGTGCTTGCCGGATGTGTGTGTGTGCGTGCCTGCTGGGTTGCATGTCTGTCTGAGTGCTTGCTGGTTGGGTATGTGTGTAACCCGCCAGGGTACTTGTTGGTTGCAAGGCCCACCGGGCCGGTACTTACCTGTGGCCGTGACTTTGGAGGGTTGCAGGGGGGTAAACATGCCGGTAGCGGGGAGTAGGTCCACGACACTTAGAGCATCTGGGGAAAAACACTCAAGTAGCAGGTAGGCCGAGCAGAAGAAGACAAAAAGTTGGCATTTTTAGAGGCCCAGTAGCGGTAGGTTAGAGGTAGGCCGGTACCAGTCCAAGTAGCCCGGGTCTAGGGCCTGTGCGGACAATAACAGAGCCTGCAATGATGTTTCCCTCCAAAAGGGAGGAGGTACCGGTTGCTGGGAGGCCGCTTGGCCTAGGAAGTCACYGCCCAGGAGGCCGGTAGGCCGCTATATCTTCAGGAAGAGCGGTGAGCTCTTCCTCATTTGCGGTATGCAAGGATTGGCGACATGCTGCTGGAGCGCAGCGCTGGTCTGAGGCAGCGCTACTTGGAGGTGAAGGTCTGCTGGGGCTCAGCCTGGCTATGGCGAGCACCCCAGCTTGAAGGAGGAAGAAGGGGGACGTGGAAGGAGAGTGGTAGGGCACTTACCTGGCTATGGTGGGCACCGTCTTCATTACCTTGTTGGGCCCTGCATCTGGAAGGCCCCAGTTGGGGTAACGCTGCACCAGGGCAGCTCGAGGCAGAGTCAGGCATAGCGGACCAAGTCAAGCAGCGACATAGCTGCTTTGAGTTGTCTTTCGGGCATCAGGGCAGCATCATAGCTTCCTTCCAGGAGTCTGCCATGGCCTATGCTTGAGAGAAGAGGTTGAAGGAGGGAAGACATAGCCATGGTGGACTTGTTGTTGTTGTTGTTGTTGTTGTTGTTGAGAGTTGAGTCAGCAGTACGGGGGAACTTCGGACATTGATTCTGGTTCATCCATTCATTGTTATTATTATTATTATTGAGAGAAGAATAAGATTGGTGAAGAGAAGGAAGAAGGAGGAAGGTGGAGAGAGAAGGGGGGAATGGTCATTGGTCTTGCTGGTGTACTTCTTCTTCTTCTTCTTCTTTTTCTTCTTCTTCTTCTTCTTCTTCTTTACCTTTCCTCTGGTCTTTATCTCTTTGCAAGTGCTTTCATTTCTTTCGCAATTGGGTGGCATTGTCTTTCATTGTGAATTTGCACTTGGGAAATGACYAGGATCGTAACAATTGGTATCGGAGCGGACTTACTTGCTGGCGAGAGGTGTTAGTCACCCTAACCCTAATTTCGAATTAGGTTAAGGCTGACCTAATCTCGGATTAGGGTTGGGAAGTTAGGGTTAAGTGGGGCAGCGAGGTATGGGGATGCTGCCCCCACCGGGTTAGGTCATGTAGGGTCGACATTGGACCCAACCAGGTTGCTTGAATGAATGTATGGGGTGGCGAGACACAAAGGAGGCTGATTGGGGTAAGCGAGAGGGAGTAGAGAGTGAGAGGTACTCGCACCTGGATTTTGGACTTCAGGAAGACATTGAGTGACTTTTGGGCTTCCCATCAAGAGGGAGACTTGATCGGAGGCTGCCATATCTGCATCGGATTGCTGCAAGTTGCTACTTTGGTCTTCGGGCATCGACGGCGGATCCGGCTTTGCAATAAGGGTGTAGGAAGGCCCTCTTAGTCATGCTAGGACACTTCGTGTAGTGGTAGCTAGGGGTCAGGAGGACTTATATGAGAGGGGAGTGACTCGTTATCCATCTTTGGAGGCCGGACCTCACAGGTAAGTGCCGTGTGACCGGGGAAAGCCCGCGGGAGGTTGCTTGGTGCTTCATGGCCTGTTGGGGGTGTGCTGGGTTCTCTTCCTCTTCTCTGCGGTCTTGGTTGTGTGTGTGAGCTTGTTGATTGCTTTCTCACCTGATGGATGGATGGATGATGTATCTACTCTAAATGACATATCTTTCTACGGTGCATTGTCTTTTCTTTTCTGAACGGCTGTAGAAGTGAGTTCTTGCTGAAAGTTGTGTTTTCCTTTTCAGCACGGTAGAGGCAGTTTGGGACCGACTTGGTACCCCTATCACGTTGGTCCTGGTCCACGGCCTACTTGGTACCACTCGGGACCGAGTGGGACCAGGCCCAACGGGACAGGATCTTTTGGGCCCAAATCTGTTGCCATCAGTGCATTCTTTGTTGTGCTGCATCTGGGGGGACACACGGACAGCAAGGGCATTTCTTTCAAGGGGATCTTGACTGGCCTTACCGCAGGTTAGCACATACCGCCTTGTGTCTGATTCGGCGACCATCTGCACCCCTCGAAATCTCCATTGCTGCAGATTAGTCTTCTTCGTCTGATTTATTGTGTTAACATGTCCCCTGTCAGGTTAGACGAGAGGGGATCTCCAACTGATCTGATCGGGCCCGTTCTATAAATCAGACCTCTCTGCTGTTTTGTTTTATTTATTTTTATTTATTTTTCTGTTGCGTGCCACGTTCTCAGTCCAAATGATTCGCCGCTCCGGCCAGGAGTTCTACCTTCTTCTTTGAGTGGTTTCCTGTTTGTTTCTTCTATCTGAATTATCTATGTCCGATATCGAGACGCGTGCGCAGACAGCGAAAAGAGAGGAAAGGGAGAGAGAAGGTGTGCTGTTTGAGAGTGTGAGAAGGGGCAAGAGGAGTGTTCGTCCAAACGTCACGAGAGAGCGGACCCCTCTTGAGAGTTCTACTGACACCCCTTCCTCCGGCATGGCGAACATCACATCTGCCCAATGGCAGGCCATGCTGAATACAGCGGACAAGAGCCAGAAACCATTCTTTCAAAAACTGTATGATGATGCCGTGCAGAGAGAAAGGGAGGCAGCGGCAGCAGCTAGAGCCGCCGACATTGCTGAT